AAATTTGTTGTTTTTTAAATAAAAATAAACATTAGCTAACAGATGATAGCAATTACCTTTATTTGCTCCATTTTAATTTTGTAGTTATGTAACTGCATCTCTACGTTTAAAGATTAAGGATGGACAATTAAAATACTTGCTATATTTTCTTTATTTGCCTAAAAAACTACACATCATGAATAAAATAGTCAATAATACTAATATGCATTTGTACAGTGTAATAAGGGTTTTGTTTATCAACAAACGTTTTTCAGAAATCTTTTCCCAAATTAAATAACTAGAAAAAGGATATAGAGTGCAATCTTTATAAGTACAAAATTTATAATATAACATATTTGTTATTAAAATACGAAGTATCTGTTAAAAACGTTACAAAAATAAGATATTTACTTAAAACTACCACATACCTGAAATTAGCTGTACAACCAACAAACACAGTCAGTACATTGAACTCTTGTTCAATGTATTTTTCGGGTTCTGTTCACAAACGAAACGTAATTCGCGAAAGACAGAGCTTATTTGTGTCAAGGTCTACGCAAGTGCTACAGCGGCACGTCCGCCTCGTAGCACCTCTACGACACGACAGGCTACGAGCTACGAGGGGAGATGTGAGGCCAATCGAAGAGAGGCTGCGCGATCTACAGGATGTTTCATCTGGTCCGAAGTACGGTAAAGAATGCGCCAATTTCTTACTAATACAATGCTTTTTCTTTTTTTTTTTTGAATAAAGGTTTTTTTTTTTTTTTTTATATCAATTTGAAATTTTCTAGAAGCTACCTAAACGAAGTTATTTATGCGCCTATTACGTTAAAGATGTACGTTACGTTTAAGATGTATTTATTTCTTAAATGATTACAAAAATTCTCTTACTGAAGAAACTAGGGTAATTTGTATTTAAATTTTGCTAGCATTTGGTGCTACCCGCACTCTCTTATCAGTTTACAATGAAGGTTATATCTATACTAATATTATAAAGCCGAAAAGTTTGTTTGTTTGAACAGATTTATTTTGAAAACTACCGGTTCGAATATTATTATTTTGTTGGTTAGATCATTTATCGAGGAAGGCTTCATGCTTCGACCAATAGTTCCGAAGAAACAGTGGCAAATATGGAAAACGGGAATGTTTGCGATGTATATATATATCTAATGTATATATGAGGTGGTTTGCATTAGCTAATTTTGACAGCCAAAATAACTATTCTACGCGGAAGAATCGCTAACACAGTTAGTTTATCTATATAAAGTGACACGGTGCGACACTAGGAGCTATTATATATTGAATTAAAACTTACTTAACAACTACTGTCTACTCATGTTCAATTTATCAGACATATGTTACTTGTTAGTAAAAATTAATATTCTACTCTTGATAATTCCAGCAGAGCATTAATGTTCCTTAACAAAAACATTATCAATACTTTTCTCAAAAATTTGGGTGATATGTTCGAGTCAAAAAATTTATATTTTTAGAAAGAAATAACTTTACCAGGTCGGGATTATAAACAATTTTGTATCGGAAAATCAGAAATTGGTTAATAATAATTGATACGACGATAAAATTTGGAATCTTCATAATATTAATCTTATCAGACAATGCTTTGCAAGCCTTTGATTACTCAACGTCAATTTACAGCTTCATTAATAAATGATTTATCATTTTACACTAAATATAACTTAGATAAATGTCTCTATATAAAGTATAAATCATGTTGCTACGTCACTCAATCCTTTGTAAATTGATTAAAAAATATATGGAACCAGATATGAAAACATAAAAACAATTGGTTGTTGATATATTGTATATTATAATAAATTATGCCCGCTCATATTAGCTTTTCCACATGTGAGGTTACAAAATGTTAAATATTTTAAGAGAAGATTACTATAGAAGTTGTTTTTTTCTGTGTTACTCAAGTCAAAAAAAGGGGTAAGTGGCGATTAATAAAGAATACAAATATTTAAACTAAATACTTTAACGGGTTAAAACGCGATATATGTGTTAAACTTATTTGCAAATGATTTTTAACTTTGGCCCGACGTTTCGTATGCTTTTTGTCTCCCCGTGACCATGGCTGCTGCAAAGCATCTAAAACGTCGGGCCGAAGTTAAAAATCATTTGCAAATAAGTTTAACTAGTATATCGCGTTTTAAACCGTTAAAGTGTTTTATTTAAATGTGTACTACTCGCGTAAACTATAGTCTAAAAAAAAAAATATTTCTACCCACAAACGTCTTCTTACTTGAGCGCCCTCCACAGCTGGCGACCACGTTTTTAACTGAATATTATGTATAAAGAAAGAAAGAATATTATGTAAAAATTGTATGGCCATTATCTTAATGAAAGTTTTATAACTTAGTTTCACGATCAGGTTAAATGCTTTTTAATACTTAAATTAGCAATGTTAATTAACTTTTTCTATATGTATCCATATAAAAAATAAGCAAATGAATATTTGCATAATATAACAGAATAAATACATTCTACACAAAACTAAATGGGTCATTTATCTTCTTTTCGTATTTACTCCTGCAGATACAATGTCGAAAAAAAATATTTCAATCTATCATAGAAACGAGATCTCATAATATCCGCCTGATTGAAACATAAAGCCCTGAAATGCATCACCAGACAACAGCCCCTTGTATAAGGGATGATGAGTGTTAGGGCCTGTCAATCGCTTGTTATGTGTTAATGCGGGGATGAGCTATGGGCGAGCAGCGTTATCAATATTCTGTCTGAAATACGGATGTCTATTACATGATTATTATACAAATTTAATTGAGGTTGAGTTAACGTACATGTAATTAAAATATAGAAATCATGGCCTTGCTGGTTTAATCGTAGCAATGGCTAGTAAAATGCGATGTACTTGAAACATAATTATGTCCGTTGGCTAATAAATTTTCTATACAAATTGTATATCAGACCCCCAACCGAAATATTTATGTTTTGAATTATATTTTTGTATCTATATAACTACGGAGGGTATTTTTAACAAATTATTAAATCGCCTAAGATGTTATATAATTGTTGTTGTTACCATGTTGTGAATAAAAATCTAATTTAAACGAATTTTTCTAGATTTTTTTTAATTAGCTTAATAAAACCCATACAGGATCTAAATAAACAAGCTTATTATTAAGGTAAGCTAGCTGGATAGTGTTATTTCTTATAAGCCCGTGCAAATTTAATTTCTTCTAACATTTCTCACGCACATCTGCGGCCGGAAAATTAGATACGAATGTCAACAAAAAATTCTGCACGCGTTTCTGTTTGTTTATTTCTTCCCATAATATGTGGAGCGTAAACCGATGGAAAACTGAATTTTGTTTTTGTTATCTAGCTATAAAATATACATTTTCTATATAAACGGGTTTACGAAGCTGTTTCTAAGTTGATACAAGTTCAATGTTTAATATTTCCTTCCTACTGCTGCAGTAAATAGCTAAGATTAAAGCATTCCAGACGGATTAGCGCCGTAACGCGTTACGTAACAAAATCATTTACAATCATATAAGAAGTTGTAACTTCCAAAAAACTTACATTATAACATCGTATTGTTCGTATTTCTAAACTAAAGAGCGAATGTTTTATATTTCGCGAGAGAGTAATCTTCGTCTTCATCCAGTCATTTACTGTTTTTGTCCCCTAGAACGTTTCCTTGTTACAAACAAAATAAAGTCCACGAAACTTTTCGAATATTAAACAGCCATTGAGCAGTTCGTGATTACAAAATCAATAAAATATCATCCCGGGGCACTTGTAAACTTAACAAACATGGACGTCTAATCATAGATATTGTACTGGATAACTTTAAAACCAAAATTAAGTAAAAAAAAAGGAAAATTCTTACATTTGAACATTTTAATATTTTTCACATGTGATGGCATATATTAATTAAAACTTTGGTAGTAAATTTCAAAAATTTACGACTCGGGTAGGACTTTCAGGAGGTTGAAGCAACAGCACGGAACCAGAGGATGCCGGTTCAACTCTTGCCCAAGTCGTAATTTTTTATCGATTTTTAATTCATAAGATTCTTACACATTTAGATTAGACTTGTAGGTTTTAACTTTATTTATTTATTTGAACCACTAGTAATATTTTGCATTATTTCTTTAAGTAGAACAATACAAGGAATTTCTAAATAAAGCCATTTCTAGTTCATATTTAATCTTTGTTGTAACTTGAAGTTGAATGCTATTAAAATTCACTTCAGTAGTTACCTACTGAGCTTAAAACTCAAAATAATGCAAGGTGTTGTTAGGTTTAAATAAATCACCTCTGCTATAAAATGAGTAGTTAAATAGTTTTTATTCGCTTAATCGAAATCAATACGAAAATTCGCGAAACATTTAAGTTAGGACAGTGAAAATTACAAAAATTAACGTGAATTTACTGTCTTTTACGTGATTTCCCCTTTTTTGATGGAGTAGGAGGAGCCACATAACCTCTACAGTAGATGAGATGTCGACCTATTTTGGCTTTGGATATTCGGAACTCCACAGACTGAAACCGAAACGCGATTAAGCTCACTGCTCTTTCACCTGTAAACGGTGGTTCGAGACCAGGACAGAAGTTCGATATTACTACATTCATTAAACTACAAACATTGAATATCCAGATTTCCAGACGAAGTCCAACATGTATCAGCAAAATTATACATTAGATTATTAACCACAAATGTTTGGTATTGCACTAACAAGCCCGCCGAACTTAAATACAACGTAGATACAAATATTTATTATGACTTTTTTGAAAAATGAAATAATCAATATCTTTACACCTATATAGCTTATATTTTTTTAAATATTATTTATTTTAATTTAGGCTAAAACTCTCTGTGCCTGTCGAAGCAAAACACTTTATTATTATATTTCTTTATTACAATTTTATTTATTCGAACACAGTATCTTACACTTACGCATTGTCAGCGCAATTTTTACTAACATGCTACAATGTTGAAGAAAAGACAACATATTGATAATAGCTTTATTTTACTCGTCGATGTGGTCTTGAGGCTTCTTGCTACGTGTATCTGGTCCAAAATACTTTGTATACAAATCTTTAAATTGGTTGTAAACCTCTTCAGCATTTGTCTTCGGATTCATGTCAGTATTTTTATATTTATGCCCGCAGTAACACACGTGATCCTTACCACAGAAGGATGGTAGCCCCAGCTGCATACATTTTCGGATACACTGCCTAGCCACGTCTAAGTTGGGACAAAAGTGGGCTATGTGGTGGCGAACGGTGGGACGATAAGCGTATAGGAGATTTTCTTCGTTTAAAACTGGTAAAGATTCTGCTGAAAGCAAATAATATGCTAAACAATTGCCTCTTCCGCTTATTGGTATATAACATCGCATCGTTTATGTTAAGGGAAAGATTAAGTTCGAATCTTGAGAAGAATTAATAGTTTCAATCGTTCGGGGTACAGAAATCTCACCATGATTTGAAATGTATATTGAAACGGGCACAAAAAAGTGTTCGAATTTCGAATTGAAATTAAACTGAAATATATAAAAAAAGAAATTAATTTTAAGTAGTTGAAGTTTGTACTAAAACGTTGGCAATTAAATGTTTCACTGCGAGATCTGATATATGAAAACTGAATTCGTTAACCTAGCGTAATAAAGCGCGACTTGAGTGATAGACCAACTTTATATGCTAGCGTTTCGCATAGCGTCATGTCAACGATTTTATATGAAAATTCTTTACGGATAGCCAGCTTAAAGCCATACATTTAAATATACTATTAAAGTTTTAGAACGCGAAGATATGTTAGTGACTATATTTTATTTGTTTTTAATATGACTTTACGCTACCGTTGTCCGAATGTTTTATTAAAATTTGTAATACTCGCGTTAACTAGGGACAACATTTAAAATAAATTTATTAATAGAGTATTAAACAGGAGTGGTACAGTATAAATAAAACATATTTAACAGCTTAGAACGCAAAAAATAAGTATTTTAATAACGAGTCGAAGTTTCGGTTTTTTTACAGGAGCCGTCACGGTGGACCACAACGATTTGTCGTTAACATAAAATTATTCTTCTTGAATTAATTTTTATAATATGATATATATGAATAGCTTCTTCTTAGCATTTTTAGCTATGTAAAATATAGTACATGTGAATATTTATAAATACATAAAACTCACTTTATTGTTCTGTAATTTTATTAGTAAGTATAGTACATCAATTAAATATTAATAACATTTTCTCTTACCAACAGCCGCTTCTTTTATAGACATACAATAGCACTTTCCAGATATACACAAACTGTTTTTCGTTTCACAGTAAAGTTGACAGTACAGTTTAGACATCTTATCACATTTATCTGTAGAACGTAGGGGAGAGCTGAAGTAGTAGTCTACATCAAAGTCATCTATAAAAAATAAAAGACCTGGCTAAGCGTTGCTTATGCGAATAGAACAGTTTAATACGAGAAATATATTTCTGTAACATATGTACAATTTATATTAACTACGGGCCGACTATATGCTGCAGATAAGGTAATTAATATGTATCGCGTCTTATAAAAAGTGTTCTATTTAAATAAAAGGCCTGTTTTACATATGTCTAAAAATAGATCTAAGTAATTCATAGCGTAATTTATTGTGATGTATGTTAAGGGAACTCAGCTTTAGTTGTACCTGGAAGTAGGTATTTTTCAGTTCCGATATTCATTTTGATATTCGAAGAAGAAACAATAAATACCTTAAAACATACACTCATTACTGATGTATTCATTTATACACAATATATAAAACTTACCACGAAATGTTTACAATAAAAAAAAATATAATGTAAAAAGAAATAAAAATAAAGAATAAGTAAGTAAACAACAAAAATAAACTAAATTGTATTTTATAAGTAACGTAACGTAAACGCCAAGAGGGGTGCTTCTAAAATTCCCCTGCTAGAATTTGTTATACTTCAATTTTAATATTCAGTGAATTAGACACGTGTATATTTAAGTAATCGATCGTCTCTGCAGCCAAATGATAAGACGTGTTGTCTAGCAATGCGTTAAGCGCGAGTGGTCCGGGGTTGAATCCCAGGGAAACAATAGATTGTTTCGGTCGGGCAGAGCACAGAAGTCTGATCAACGTGTCTGTAAAGAATCGATCAGTGAAATGGACACAGAAATGTGTTTGCCCCATGCCCCACGGGATACGGGATTTCACTATTATATTTAAGCAATAAAAAGGTACCTTTTTGTTTCGTCGCCTTAATTGTCACGAAAATAATAAAAAACACAAGACTCCTCCAAGACATCATTCTTTCGAAGAGCGTTTCAAATAACGTCCTTAATCCGTTAAATTAAGGAATTAATTGATTTTTCACTTAAACGCTTAATGATCACGCTGTTGATAGTAAACTTGATTACTTCTGATACTTAATCTTAATGGAGTTCGCATTTTCTCGTCTTTATATAAAGGGTTTGATGGAAAACTGTTGTCTGTTATACAAACAGAGGGCCTTGAGATTCAATTAATAATTATAAGACATTGCTGTTTCAATTTACATACTTCTCTATAAACAATTCAAGTATATTATGATAATTTACAAGAATTCTGCTTATTAGTAATATGAGCACGCACTTACTTTCATGGTAAATGGGGATATTATTTATATAACATAAATAACATCGATATCTTGGCCTATTCTATATCAGTATTTAAAAATAAAGGTCGTTATTATTTCACATCCCTACCTCGCAACAACATTTTTTATTATTATTATTTGTTCGTTTTTATATAACATAGTGTTATATTATGTTTTATTGGATCTAACAAAATAACTTGTACACAATTTATTCGAATGTACACAAAGATGTAATACGTGAACGAAAACTTAATTCTTGTCCCCACTTATTGATTTAATCAAAGATACATCAACGGATCAGAACATACATCACTTTTTAATATTTGAATATTTATGATATACCTTAAAGCCTTTCTCGATAAAGGTAGGTATCTAGGTATCCAACACAAATAATAAATAATTTTTAAATCGAACCAGTAATTCCTGAGATTAGCACGCTCAAACAAACAAACTCTTCAGCTTTATGGTGTTAGTATACTGTTCCTATCTACATGATCCGTTATCATGTAAAGTTCAAATAACATTAGAACAATATTCGAATTAATCCCTATTCCCCAACTATAATCACTCATCGTCCATTTCTGGGAAAGTGGACGTTCAGTGACGTCACTCGACGCAAGTTAACTTTAATTATAGCATAGTCTAAGAGCCCAACTGGCTAAAACTTCGTTTTCTTACTTATACAATGTGCTAATGGCCCAATTTTGAGTTGATGCGATTGAGACAGAGTAATTAATAAGAGTGTAATAAAACTCTATATATACGTATAAATATCTCAATTGATCCATTTTCAATTTTTTAGTACATTTCTTGAAGGATGTTTTTACAGATAGGATTTTTTTTAATGCCTCTTAGTTTTTTATTTGAAAGTCGATAAGAATTTAAATACCATAATATGAAGTGTAAATCTTTTAAAGAATAGTTTCGGGGGATTAATACTTATTATTTCAAACTTAATTTAGAACAGAAATAACGGGAACAAATGTATGGCTAATAACCAACTATTCCCACCGCTTCCAACATGTTTCTTATCAAATTAAATAATTTCTCTCAAGCGTTTTGGACCTGGATATTGAATGTATGTATAATATTTTCAAAGTAGGACTAACGAAATTCCACAGATAACCACCACAGATGAAAAAGTCTTCAGAGAGTGTTATTTTAGTTCAGTTAGTGAATTTGTGAATATCCAAAGCCAAAATATGTCAACGGCACATCTTGTTTAGATGTTATATGGCTGGGGTATTTCCCCTCCCATCATGTGAACTCCGTGCCTGTCTGTTCTCCTCTGACACAAAAAAATACGTCAGTTCCCTAAAAAACGATACATTGCAATTTTAATTTATTAATACAACTAAAAATAAAGAAATATCTGCTAGGCAGTTTTCCGGGACAACAGTTTTTATATAAATTTTCGGGCTGTTCGGCCGACGTAAGAAAGAAGAGTTTTTATGTAATTTAAGTTACAAAAGCGTCAATTTTAAATGTGGATCGCTAAGGCTTTGCCTTGTACCAGAGGCAAAACGCCGATCTTAATGAACTCTCACTGTAAACTGTTCCAGAAGTTTTCCAACTAGTTTATTCGACGCAGACATTAAGATTCTTTATACACTTTTTGGAAACCTGATTTTTTAGAGTCGCAATCTCGCATTCTAACGAGGGCGTAAATTTTAATTGCCTGAGTACTTTTCAAAGTTACTAAAATGGAAAAAATTTCATAGTTAAATACTGTCTATAGTTTACGCGAGTAGTACACATTTAAATTAAACACTTTAACGGTTAAAAGCGCGATATATTTAATTTGGCAAAATTGTTACAAAAGAGAAAGAAAAAGTCATAATAGAAATAGTTGGAAAGCAGTTTTAACGCCGTTAGGGACATTCTCCATCTTCCGTACTAGTTACTCTATCCTATATGACTACTATTTGATTTATTTGTAATATATTTCGTGTTTTAGATCGTTAAAGTATTTTGTTTAAAGAGAGTATAGCAAGTTAGGTAAGTAGTTATAGATTCTCCATAATCCGTAATTACAAAAACAATTTTATTTTTTTACGAGTAAGTCTATATTTATATATGTAGCGTATACACAAAAATTTATAGCTAAGCGCCGGTTTTAAGAACTCCCTTGTGTAAGTTTAAGGCCTTATCTCGCTGTGTTGCTAGAGGAAAATGATAAATACAGATGAATCTGTAATCATTTCGAGATTTCCAACAATTAGAAAGTTTTTATTCGACACCTTGGAGTTGAATAGAAATAGGAACATGCTTAACAAGAATTTTCTGTAAACTTTTGACGGATCACAAAGCAAAATGGGAGAACTTTCTGAAAGCAATTAGGGCCAAACTAATTTTCCACTTTCCACCTCGGGGATGCGAGCGAGTTTTCATATTATATTTTCGCATCTATCTCATAGAAGTGCTAATTAGCTAATGTATGTTTTATTCTAATACTTGGGTATTAGAAAGTTATATATAATATGTATTATGAATTGAGTATGGTTTCTAGCGAACGACCGGTCGTACTGTAAGTCTATGGGGGAGGCCTATGTCCAGCTGTGGACACTGAACGGCTGAATCGATTCATGATTTAGTTTCTTTGATTTAAACTACTAAGTAATTAGTAGTACACATTTAAGTCTCCTCGCAGCCACGCCTGCTGAAAAGCATCCGAAAAGTCGGGCCGTAATTAAAACTGAAAGATTTATTCAGGTGTTTTATTGCAGCGGTTTGTACCTGTTTCAATTGTTACTATTTACTGGACCGTACTGGACTGTAACTTTTTATTGTTTTCCCGGGATTCAAACCCGATTATCGTTAACCATTGAGGTATGGAACTGGACACTACATATTTCATTTTTTCTTGTTTCTTGACGACAGCTAGTTAGTTATTATAGTTTCAACGTTTTAAATTGTTAAAAGAGTTTAAACAAAAGTATACACGGTAACTCAATACGTTATAGCCGTAGCCCGGAACGTTGTGGATGTCGGTTCAAGTTCTTCCCGTGACGTAAATTTTTAATTTAAAATACAGTCCCGCCTATCATCAATCTTGTCAATATAAAAATCTCTCATTGGCATTTATGGGCCTGTTAAAATTAAGATTTACGAAGTACATTCCCGTGTGCTTGTTCTATTAAAAAAAGAAAAAGATTAATGAAATCCCAAACCAAGATGAATAGCTTGAATTATCTTAACTTCATGTCCCTAAAGGGATATTATTCTATCAAGTTAGACACCATAATTCAGTAACTTGTTTTCGAGACAAGTTTATTTATTCGTGCTATAATTGTATCAATTGTTTTACAGTACTTATTTTTCTTGAAACATTTTGTACTTTTGGTGTTTTTCAGCTTAATTATTTTTTTGTCATATTTCAGTAACATAGCTTCATATCTCTTTTATTGGTAAACAATAAGCTCTTAATAAAAACCTTTTTCAGATACCTATTCAGTAAACTGTGTTTTACATGACGAACACATTTATGAGTGGTTGAGATGATTTTCACGCCAAACAAAACTGTTGAACTAGAGTCGGAGACTTAAGCCATAAATTACAATTGTTAAATTAAATGTGTGAGGACATTTCTATAGTTCGTCTAATGCCAAATGTAAATCAAAATTCCGTCCAGGTCACGAATCATCATCCACAGATTGTAAAGCCGCGAAGTGTAAAAATGCATATATTTTTCCGTCTGTGGTTTTACGACTGTCCAAAACTAGAATAAGTGAACAACGTACCTTATTTAGTTGTTATATAGATTTGGCACCTTCTATAAAGTGAATATGCTCGTCCTACTGTATCATAAAAAATTACAACATTCTATTGAAATTTTTCCTTAATATAACTCGTGTATTTATAGTAAGTAAGCATATTCATATTAGACAAACACAATAACCAAAGGCAATTTTCAACATAAGGGCAAAACAATATGCCCTAAGAAAAAAAAAAAAAAATTTTATTAGAAAACAAAGACCGTTGAGGCAACGGAGCGAGAACAATAGCAACTTAAATAAATGTTATTCTTTTCGCCTATAATAACAGATATTCCTGCCTCAAATAGTAATTAAGTTTCTCCAATCTTGTCCTTTTTGATAATTTAAAAAGTTTAATTAATTTGTACTTATAACCAAGTAGGTTTATCAAACGTATATAGTTATTAAATATTAAACCAAAAAACAATTAAACATCATTTTTTAATAAGCCCTTATTATATATTGTAAGTGTAAGCAATAGTGTAGTGTATACTTAACTCTAATCTTTGAGCTATGTTGTTCTGTAGAATAAATTCGTTGTATGTTTGTATTTGTTTCTCAGATATAAAATTGTAAGAACGTAAAACACTTTAACGGTTTAAAACGCGATATATTTTAGTAACATGTTTGAAAATTATTTTTAACTACGGCCCGACGTTTCGGATGCTTTGCAGCAGCCGTGGTCACGGGGAGTCCGCGACCATGGAGAATTAATTTAATTGAAAAATAAAAATAGTTAACTAATATTAAACTAAAATAAGCACAATGCGCCACAGCCGTCCAATATGCCACTTTGTAATAAGCACTGTGTGGAAAAGAAAACTTAACTTTTAGATCTTCATAAGTAAGAAACAAAGAAATGCATAAAATGGTTTGATAAGCAACTTACGAGATTTTTAGTAACTATATAGTGATAAAGATGTATAAAGAAAAAACAAATAATTAAACATATGGATGTATATATTGACTTTCAAAACAATATTTATAAAAAGCTCAAATGTGTCCTCTTCGCCAGATATTCCTTGACACCAGGAAGTTCTCGGAGTTCGTCGACAAGTTTGTTCACATTAGGATACGGCTTTTGAATTTCAACTCCGATAAAAATCCTTACACCTTCCACAAGGCCCAGTAATACGAAGTCAGCCCAGCTAAGCTGAAAGGTCTCATTGATTAGCCTCTCGTTAAGTATATTTTTAATAATAGAGAACGATGATTTTGCGTGGCTAGAGGTGGATGATTTTGTAAACAAACAAACTCTTCGGCAATAAATTGTGTAAGGCTTGTGTAAAGTGTCACGGCCTTCGTTCAGCATATCATTGTTTTTCGGGCTGTTCGGCCGACGTGAGCGAAAAGAGGTTCTCGACGTTTTGCCATCTCGAGCAGACGGTATCGTCAGGTGATGTTTTTAGCTCGAAGAACGAACCCGAAAAAGAATGATAAAGTATAATTATCTATTGTATATGTATAAATTGATTAAAACCAAGTTGGAGCTGGTGGGGATCGAACTTGGACCTGATGTTTATAAGGGTGCTAAATGAATGTGACTATAAAAATGTATTACTGAAGCAGACACAGATTATATCAATCCCATGGGGCAGTTATAGTAATAAACGATTTTTAATTTAACTTTTTAATAATTTAAATTTATTTCAAGCTAAATCCTTTTTACGCATTAATGCAAGCATTTATATTTAGGTTAAATATTTGTATCTCTATTCAATAGATTTACTAACTTGTCTTGTATTAAAAAACTTTTTATTTATTACCTTCTTCGCGAAGTGACCGCCGTTCTTTAGTAATTCCTTTTCGAGTCTCGAGAAATAGAAGTTCACGTGACTTTCAAGGATTTCCCTTTTTATAATTTCCCTCTTGGCCAGATCTTTCTCTCTTATAAACGGTGGTATCTCTACAATAAGTAAAAATAAACTTACTTTTAAAAAGAGATACATTGTGATACATTATGTCCCAATTATAACTATCGGGCTCATGGGTCTATTGGTTGCAATATATACCTTATATCGGGTGCAATATGGTTCTAATTCAATTTTCCTGAAAATTTCGAACTTCGTCTAGAAATCTGGTTGGTAGTAATTACTGAGTTCTATCCGGATAACGAAATACCGTTCACAGATAGATAAGCTGAAAAGTTTTATTGCGTTTTGTTTTTAGTCTGTGAATTTTCGAATATCCAAAGCCAAAATAGAAGGACAGCGAATCTTGTTAAGGTATTATATGGTTGGATTATTTCACTTTCCATCATATTAACCGTATTCTTGTCTGTTCTCGACAATTATAAAAAAATAAACAAGCAATCTAATAGAAGTAACAACATTGTACAAGTTCCAATTTTCATTTTTATTACAAAATTTATTTTCGATTTTCAATATTCAAAATGACAACACGGTTAGACGACCTGGCCTATTTCAGTAACATGAAAAGCGAACCATACAAACCGATTTTAGAATAAACCTAAACTTACTAGACCAGAAGTCGTATAAATTTCCCACTACAGCATCGAGTTCAGCTTGTTCCCAAGCGTCGGTCGGCAATAGATTGGTTTGACTGGCGATGTAACGAGCGATAGCGAATGACTGGTTTAAAGTTTTGCCACCCTCTTCGTACAGTGGAAATTGGCCGTAGGGCAACCCTGCGAATGATAAAATGATCCCTAGTGCACTGCATTTGCTATTTTCGTACTACCTACAGTTGTTTGTGAAACATTTTCAATCGTTTGTATGTTATAACATCCAAATCTTTATTAATTAAGATAACCGAGCTTATTTTTTATCACCAATAGAATTATACTTTTGAAAAGTTTAATATTTTTTACATATTATTGCACAAAGCTTGCACTTTTTATTATTATATTTACCAGACCTGGTTTCGAACCTGCATCACTCAGAATGCAAGTTTAACTATAGTTATTAAAGCGAGTTGTCAAGTATAATTTTAAAAATCGATTTAAAATTTAACAAAATTTTACGACACGAGTAGAGTACCGTGCATTAATAATATTCTTAAGTTGCAAAGCATAAGACATTGAATCTTACTGTGTGAAGAGTGCAAGAAGAGGAACTAGTAGTTTGTAAAAAAATACCAGAGCAATGGACCCAGAAGCCTATCTCTATAGTCCCATGCGCCTCGCTAAAATGGTAAAGGTTTTGATCGTAAATGTGGATATGCTGTCAATTCGAGACCCTTAATTTATTACGTGCTTCGAGAGGATTCGAGTCTATTATACCGAAGGGACGGACGTAAAATTTTCGACTTACTATTAAATATGTAAGCGCAATGATTATCATACACCATACGGGAATAATTTTCCTTTAAAACTTAATATATTAAAGCCATGCTAGATATGTTTTTTTTTTATTAGTACGGTACAGTTTCTAATTACAATATTTTATGAAATATATACGAGTATACATGTCATCTAGCAGCCTACTACTCTACTCTACTTCTGCACTGCTACGGCTACTAGAGGCAGAGTGGCCTAATAACAAAAACCATTTACTTATTTGATAAGAAGGAAAATACAAAAGGCACCATCAACTCAGGCCAAAATGAATTTGAATATAATTTTCGGCATCTTTAGACTATGAAAATTTAAATAATTCAAGTCCTAAAATTGCGGTTAGCTACTCTGCCTCTAGCGGCCTCACTATATGTAACAATAATTATACATTTTACAGAATATTTGAACTTTTTTTATTTCTTGCTATATATGTAAAATACACGTGTTATTGTGCTATTTCATAACAAGTATTTTACAATAATTCGACTTTAAGACTTAAAATTAAGTATATGAAAGCCACAGATTAAAACAAAACCTACATAGGCACTTAATAAAACAACAACAATAAATATTACTTACAATCCTTTACGCTCTGTATTGGCCACTTCTTCAGTTCATATTGGACGTCTTCGAACTGCTGTCCAGCGTAATGAAGCATATATTTTGTTGGCTCAGCAAGGGCGTTTAAATCAAAACACAAGTATTTTTTCGCCATTTTGTTAGACTCGCACAAGGTTACGCAGTTTATAACAAAGTGAATAAGGAAGATGAAATTCGTACGAAAAATACTATTCACGAACGCGATATCGACATCTGACTGATATCGGTATTTTTGGGGTCCTGCGGGTATGTTGATAAATTCAGTTTATTGAGAATTAATTGGAATGCCCGTGAGGCTGTAATAAATATAACACTTGCCAAGAGTTGTCAAGAAAATATCGTCTTTTTATAAAAAATACATTGCTCTAATTGTCAAAGTAATTTTGACAATTTGAATTATTAAAACTTATAGAAGCTCATTGGAAATTGAAAAAAGAATTGTCTAAATTTAAAATCTGACATGAACCGCGACACCCGTTGGAGTAAAGTTCTAGAAGTTTATGTGCAATGAAAAACACTGAAGCACTGTCTGTAGTTTACGCGGGTAGTACACAATGAAATTCAACACTTAAACTGTTTAAATCTTGACCGGTCGCCCACGGTGACCACGGCTGTTGCAAAGCATCCGAAACCTCGGGCCTTAGTTAAAATAATTTTCAAATAGTTTTAACTAGTATATGGCGCTTTATAAACCGTTAAAGTGATTCATTTAAACACTGTAGCAGCAAAACATTTAGAAAGAGTATGTTCTCTACACAAAAAGTATTGGAAATTATTCGTCAAGCCTTTGCCCAGACAATTACATTTCTTATCTGATAAAGTGGATAAGTGAAACGCTATTATTTTATTCGCGACCATACGCAACTGAATAATAAAAAACACCGAATCAACATGACCAGATGTTATGCACTCGAAATTAAATACATGCGGAATTCATTATCGCTGCTTAAATAAATATCACCTATTTGTTTGGTCTACGTCGTTATAATTGTTAAAGTAAATTAAAAATGTAAGCATATTTTTTTGGTAATCATGTCAATGTTACTCTGAAAGACAAAAGGTCAAAGTGGGTTGCATTTTCAATTTGATGTATTACCAGTGTTTTTTTGTGCTATCAAAAGTAATACTTTTCCTATTACAATAATTTAACATTCGTACGCTGTAACGTACTCGTACATCATAACTTATAAATACACTTTAAATTCAAAAAAAAATCTTTATAGTTATAACGTAATTTATAGTTCTTTGCTTTAACTAAACTTTTTTAATACTATTTATTCATAACAAGCATTATATAGTTTTATATAACTTAGTGAAATTAGTTTCAAGATAACAGACAGACAGCATGGTTTAAGTAAGCTTTATATATGAATATAACATTTATAGTTCCAAAGTATTAAATTAAGTCTTAACATTTTTTGCTTCAAACCAATGTGAAAAGATCGTGGCGATCGTTTAAATGTGACTGAAAACTAGAGCTCTTTTGACATAATATGTTCGATCTCTTTGAATCATCTAAAAAAAAAATGTTTTTCTACACTAAAATTAAATTTTACAAATCATAGTTGAAATACTAATAGTTAAGTTTTTTTTAATGAAATGGATTTAGGAACTTCGCTTCAGTCTGGTTTTTATGAAAAACTAGAACATATGAAATTGAGTTAATCGCATAAATAAATAAACACGGATTTAATAAATAATTTATTCAAGGTTAAAAACGCACATTAGACTTGGTAGGGCGTTCTCTTTGCAATGTATTCCTTGACACCAGGTAGAGATCGTACTTTGGTGACCAAAGCGTTAACCGTGGGGAATTGCTTCTGAACTTCAATTCCTAAGAATAGGTTGGTAGCCTCAACGATGCCCACAAAGACGAAGTCAGCCCAGCTCAACTAAAACAAATTTTAGTACAAATCAATACTGGAGTAACTTACAGAAAGTATTTATACTGCAAATACGATATACGCAGGAAATTTAAAAAGGAACTCCTTTTTTAAATTCCTGTATATTAATTTCCAATATCTTAACCTTAACTAAAAGTACTTATTTACTATTATTTTTTTTATAGTAGAGGAGGACATACAAGCATGAGGTTCACTTAATGGAAGGTGATATACGCCAGCCTATAGCATCTAAGCAAGATGAGCTGTCGACCAATTTTTAGCTTTGTTTATTCGGAAATCCACAGACTGAAACCGAAACGCGATTAACCTTCTCGGCTTTTTCATCTGTGGTTCGTGATCTGGAAGGAATTTCTATATTCCTACCACACAATTAATATCCAGATTTCTCGTTCATACCATTCGTCCGTTAAATGTGCAATAAACTTCATAATTACGTTTAATTTGAGAACTGGTAACGTAATTTATTTTACCTACACATATTAGTGATTTTTTATTTTATAATTTACCTTTGTAAACAAATTATATTCGCTTCTTCTCAGTAAAAGATGAAACAAGTATGTTTCATTAAATAAACGATTTTATGATGTTTGAGATAATTGAAAACATAGGTACAACAGACGAAACACGAAGCATTTTATAATATACAAAAAGAACATTAGAATAATTTAACCTCTAAAAGGACAAAAGAAATGATATTATTTGTTTACACGAATTCATTAGATGGAAAATAAATAATTCATAAGTCGCTTCTTATTCTGACTATACTATTGCTTTTTCGATTTAATAAATTTCGTGATCTGTTTGCTTGGGGAAAATATAATTGTTTTATTATTATGTCAATGTATTTTTATTCCTCGAACGTGTCAAGACTTGCTTAAACGTACCTTTTTGCCGAAGTAACCGTTGTTCTTCTTCAGTTCCTTCTCGAAGCGGTTGAAGAAGAAATTGATGAATTCTTCTAGAATTTCCTTCTTGAAGGCGGCCTTCTTGACAGGGTCAGTTTCCTTAATGAAAACTACGACCTCTGTAATTAAAAATTGTCTGTATTAGTTCTACATTTTTGTCTCTAAAATGTGTCTTTTCACGTCATTTTTGATCATAATTCAAATCTATATTAAACGTTTCCAAAATTATCGTCGAAATCTTATATGGATAGAAAGATGTATGAATTGCTTTTTGTCACTAAGTACTAAACAATGATCACCATTTTAGTTAAATGGTTAAACGTTTTGCCTTAAACGTTAAGCGCAAGAGATCCTAGGTTCGGTACCTACGAAACAATAGATAATTTCTGTCGGGTAGAGCACAGAAGTCTCGTCAACTACTGAACAGTGAAACCAACACATAAACATCGCTCCACGCCTGACGGGGAGAAGGAATTTGAAAAGAGAACGGATTTCATTGTTTTTGAACGTCAATAACTTACTCGACCAAAAGTCGTAAATGTTGAAGACAACTGCGTCAAGCTCAGCCTGTTCCCATACATCAGCAGGGAGAAGGTTGGCCTGCACGGCTATGTAGCGGGCAATAGCCAAGGATTGGTTTAAGGTTTTACCACCCTCTTCATACATAGGGAGCTGTCCGTATGGAAGGGCTGTAAAGAATGGGAGACAACATTTTAATATCACATGACCTGTGGAGTACATAATTCAACTACCCAACTACTAATAGATGAAGTACAGCCTCCCCAACCGAACATAGGTAGACAGCGCATTTTCTGTAGATGTTATATGACTGAGGTATTTCACCTCCCATCAAGTAAACTCCATGTTTGTCTATTCTTGTCTTGTATTGGTATAGATTTTTAGTGTTACCATCACATTGGTCAGCTGGGCAATAAGGTCAACAATACTTTAGATACTCGTAATTTCACAAATCACAATGACAATAACACATTTTTAAGAGCGTTTTATCAGCAAATGTAACCTTGTCTTTAGCCATTACACAATTATTACGACAATAACGACTAAGTTATCTTTATATTTAAACAAAATATTGTGACTTGTTAAAATTTCACGTTATAATCTTCAAGTATTGTTAGTAAACAATATTTTAACTATCTCTAACATTTCATTGGATCGTTCGGTTGATATTTTGTTTAATTTTAAAATATTTTTAAGAAATTAATTTTTCTGCGGAGAATAGAAAATAATAAAAGAAATTACTCCAAAATACTTATACAAAGATTGGCATATTTTTCAATTCAAAGATAATGTGGATTGCTTATAATAATTATTTATATAACATCGTATGGTCTATATATCTATGTATATATTAATACGATTATGCTACTCACAATCCTTGACGGTCTGAATGGGCCACTTCTTAAAATCGTACTGGACATCTTCGAATTTCTGTCCAGCGTAGTGCAAGATGTATCTGATTGGCTCAGCCAGCCCATTTACGTTGAAGTAGTGTAATTTACGAGCCATTGTTGCACTTTGTTAAACAGCTATTTGCACAATGAAAACATTTTGTCAATCGATTTCTTTTATACGAAAGCAACAGGGGTTAATCGTATCGGTGTGATAGTTAAATCCGTTTTAGGGTTCCTGATATTAATTGTTTAAATAAAACACTTTAACGCATCTATCATATCATATAGTAATCGCAATGCAAAGCATCCAAAACGTCGGGCAGTAGAAGCTTTAGTTATATATATCGCGATTTAAACCGTTACAATGTTTTGTTTGAATGTGTACTACTCGCGTAAACTACAGACAGTATTTAAATATATTGTATTATGAAATTTAATTGTCCGTCCATTCATCCATTTAATAAAATTTAAATTTCATTTAAGTAAGTTCTTTAATATATTTAAAAAAATATAACTAGAACCCAGTAAAAAATATGTTCATTTTGTGATAACACGACGTGAACTTGGATAATAGTTTGCAATTGTTACTTATTTTGCTAAAGATGAAAAACAGAAATGAAGTACAGAGCATTAAGGAATGCCTTAATGTTATTGTAATTAACGTATGCTCCTAGAAATGTAATTTAGGGCGCAAACCATAAAGTTACAAATAAATGTATTAGTCGTCCTTTTAAAAAATATATATTCATATGGTGAAGACATACCATATGAACACCATCACCACCAGTTACAAGTATTTTAATGGTGGCAACACTCCGGATCAAGATATCACTTATCACATTTTTTCTATTGTTATTGAAACTAAATAAAAAACATTAATTACAGATGTACTGTCTGTAGTTTATGCGAGTAGTAGAATCTTCACGGTTTAAACGCGTAATGAAACTTATATATAAATATTTCAACTACGGCCCGACGGCATCTAAAATGCTTTGCAGTATTTCTGCAAGGACCCAAACAGTTTCGTCAAATACTAATGAAGGAACAAATTGCGGTAGTTTAAAAGTTTTTGTTTGGACATTAGAGACACCGTCCATCCTTAGTATCTCCGTTATTATGACTGTTACAAACCATTTGAAACATGCCGTAGTTAAAATAAATTAGACTAATACATTTCGCGTTTTCATTATAGTGTTTTAAATACAGAAGCAATTTAAACACATCAGAAAATATATATCGCTTAGAACTCAAATATACCTAATTATATTTAAGTTCTAAGCGATATAATAATATAATACATAATATTTCCTTAAAGTAATGTAAGTGTAACTAAAATGCTTCTAATAAATGGTGCAACCCCTAATTCTTCGACCACATAGATATTATTTTAACCAAGTAAAAGGTCAGTGTGTATTTAAGCTAGCCACAGAGAAAATGTGGTAAGTATTGCTTGCCCAAGTAATTGTCGAGAACATTCAACCGACCCAAACACCTGCCTGAAATAAACTAACACCTCTTAGTTTTAATAGTGGAGCTCCAGCGGTCAACTTTCGGGAGTTGTAATTTATTATACCGAACAACTGCCTTCCATTATCTAGCTAGCATATAGTACGAAACTTTGTACGTAATCATTGGTGTAATCATTTCAATATTAGAATTATTACAATTATCGCATGCACTATCGAGATTATATAATTAAGGCTATGAAACCTGGTGGAGGAAACATGGAAGAAGATAGAGAAGTTTCAACGACGTGCAAATATGAGATTTAAAAATCGAAAATTTATTGGGAAAATTTTCGATTCGGGCACGACTTGAACCGGCATCGTCAGCGTTCCGTGCTGTTGCTCGCTGACGATGCCGGTTCAAGTATATAGTGCCTTCATGTGCAATAACATGTAAAAAAATAATAAAGTTGTCGATATTATGAGATTTCTAATTTTCATATTGGTTTTAATCTTATTGTAATCAAAAATAAAATGTAATGTTGTTGTACATGGTTAATCATCAAACTCATTTCTTTTCATCAAAACTAACTAGGTACCTTTGATCGGTAAGCAACAGTAACTGATTATTTGCTAGTTCACAGGTTAATCATTATTATCGCTGCTTGAAATGATAACCTTGCTTTCTAGAAAAATAATATAAACAAATCATAATCACCTGCAGAACGAGACTGTCTCAATTAAAAGACTATTAAAAAAAACAAAGTTTTATATCAAAACTAGCTGGCCCGCAACTTCGTCTGCGTAGTTTTTTTTTTCTATCACACAACCTCTAAGAAGAATAATTCTATTTCACATATTTTTTTGGTTTCTTAAACGTTTTCGCAGCGCCTTCCTCGATAAATAGTCTATCCAACGCAAAAAATCTTTAATCAATTTGAACGAAGTAGCTCATGAGATTAGTGCGTAATATTAGTAGTAGTGGGTTGAAAAATAATATGTTTTTGAATCTGTAATGCACTATATCTTTATCGACTTCTTAGTCTAAATGAACTACTTTATTCTGCGAAGCGTAACGTTTATTCTTTTTAAAAAATCTACAGGTCCAGAGTTGTAATCAAACAAAATTTAATCAAATCAGTCAAGCCGTTTGGACAGGAAAAATAAACAAATATTCAAACACTCGCTGTAATATTAGTAGATGTTGATGACGTGTTACGAAAACAAGCGTAAAATATAGCTTGTAACGGATAGGTGAAGGTTCGGTTTTATTTATTAGCCTCTATTATTCACAGTTAACAAGAAACCACCTCAGGGCAAATTGATTCTATTAAATAGGGGATATTTGAGATTTCTTTGCTCACAGCTTTTGTTTCATTAATACTTAGAAATTTTTTGAGAAGACAAGGACACTGAGCATATTCTAAGAAAAGGAGATAAAAATTTAGTTTACGTAAGTACACATACACACCAAGAATTATTTAACGGTTTAAAACGTGAAATGTATTATTAAAAGTTTACAATTTATTGTACTTACGAGCCAACATTTATGTTGAGTTGCAGCAGCGTGATCTTCCCATTATATTTTTTTATTAAAACAAAATTCTTTAATTTAAACGTCCTATATAAATATAAAGGAAGACATATTTGTTTTATATGTTTGGAGCAGGTTTAAGTTAATAAAAAGAATGTAGCGTAACATTTGCGCTACACATGTAGCTCAGTTCGGCTTATCTCAAAGTTATTAATTAAAACTTTGAGCGAGACTGTACTATTGTAAAAGTTAAGTCGTGGTTCCTCTACATGGGGCATATATGGTTTTGTGCCTAAGTACTCACTTAAGTAGCCATCAATTCCAAAACTAAATTTAAAAAAAATCAAGTTCGTTTACAACAGACTCCTGGAGGCAAATAAATGATTAACTTTGAAGTAATAACTCGTACTATCTTTTTGTTTACCAACGTTATAGCTGAGATTATTTTACAAAGTTTTAGAATATTTTAAAAATCTATTTGTCGCGCAACTAAGCCACTTCACAACCCCTCCGATTCAGACGCCCCTAAAGTCACATTCATCAGGGATGATCAAAAATGCACCCCCGCGTTTCTACCTTTTATCTAACAAATATACCATCCGCCAACGAGATAAAAACATAAAATACACTGCCGCTTTTAACTACGACTGAACAATACTTAGCTACAGCAGGCTTCAATGTATTGCGTCCTTTGCTGTACCATCGCAGGTGTAAAAAGCCTTGTTTATCAGACGTAGATGTTATCGATAATATGTTTTCCGCAAAGGGATGTCTGTAAGCGTGTGACAATGTGTGGTGGAATAGACCATTATGTATGAAAAGAGACGCCAACTTTGCGTTGTGTTGGCTGGCTATAGTTCGGACATTGACAAAGAACACAATTTATTACAGCTGTGAGCTTTTTTGTAAGGACTCAATTAGAGAGTGTGATTCGAAATAAATTGCGATATACAACTCAAGGTATTTTTAAAACTAAACAACGCAAAAGTGCTTATTAAATAAAAAAACAACAAACTAAAAAGGGTGGTAAGTTTTTAATGGTATAGAAAATTCTCATCCAGTTTTCATAAATATGTGTGACTACGTTATGTCAACATCGATTGTCAAATGTCAACTGTTTTAAATTGTTAGAGCGGCGGCCATCTTACCATTAAGAATTTGATGATTGACTGTTAGACGTAATCTGTTACGTTTAGATGACAGCTGTCAATCAACAATGACATAATGTGACGTTGTCTACAAATATAATATTGCTCACTTCATTAGTTACGTAATATAAATATGTATTACAAATAACTTATTTCACTAATTGTTCGCCGAGTACAACGCAGCTTTCAACCCTACGAACAAGGATTAATATAAAGCTCGATTGCGACAGCCCTGACTAGTGTGCGCATGTCACGCCAAATTTTAAGCAGGGTTTATAGCATTCAACCTAACACAAAGGATTTTCAAATTCAGCACTATTTCGGAAGTAATTTCATTGTAAGCACTTTACGTCAATTTTCTATGACGTTCAATAAATTGTAATAATCTACAATTCCTATAGTTTTATAGTGTCGATGTAAAATTTTGCGTATTTTTAAAATATCTACGAAGACACGATTAATTTGTTTTAGCCGCGAAAAGGTATTCTGGTCACAGCTATTAAGAGGAAGCAGCCACAAAATGTGCAAAATTTCCTCTAAATACTTGAAGGTTTAAAACGCGAAATATATGATACACTAATTTGCTAATTATTTTAACTAAGGCCTGACATTTCGGCTTTGCAGTAGCTATAGTCATCCCGTAGTATTCGTATTTTAAACTGTTCAAGTATTTTACTTTAAAATAAGTTAAAAAAAATGTTTTCTGATTAATAAGATGGTTAGATTTAAATAAAATACTTTGAAAGGTTCAGAATTTGTGGTCTCGGGTTGAAATAAATGATAAATGAGTTAATTTAAACATATATTTTGCGTTTTAAACAGTCAAAAGTTTTTTATTTGGTTACTACTCGCATAAACTACTGACAAGCTATATGGCAAGATATTACTTTCGAACCAAGAAATTTTAATACGTAAATGTTTTATGAGTTTTAACTGTTTCGTGTGACTTTTTCCGACTCTTGTAATATCAAATATCTTTTAATACTTT